AGAGAGAGAGAGAGAGAGAGAGAGAGAGAGCCCTAACTAACTACCCCACCCCCAAAAACGATGACGACGATGACGAGCAAGTGTAGTATCTGTTCCGATCAGTTTGATGTCTGACGCGTGGACCATCAAGAATTCTTTTTTTACTTTTTTAAAAGGAAAAACGGTGTGCACGTGCGCTGCTTATGCTGTTGTCGTGAAGCGCACCCTTTTGTTGTTCTGAAGCGCTCGGTTGTGAAGCGCCCCGTGAAGCACTCTCTCTCTCTCTCTCTCTCTCTCTCTCTTGCGCATGCACGCGACCGTGGTTGGCCGTTGGTCCTGTCTCTCTCTCTCTCTCTCTCTCTCTCTCTCTCTCTCTCTTGCGCGCTCGACTGTGGTTAGTAAATGTTCCGATGAGTTTGATATCTGACCCGTGGACCATCAGGAGTTCAGTTAAAAACAATAAAATAAAAGGAGAAACGACGCGCGGACCAGAGAGAGAGAGAGAGAGACCCCTTACTAACTACCCCACCCCCCAAAACGACCACGATGAAGAGAGAGAGAGAGAGAGAGAGAGAGAGAGAGAGAGAGAGAGAGAGAGAGAGAGAGAGAGAGAGAGAGAGAGCTCCAGCATCAGTGTATCAACACAATCAACAACACTACACAGGTGAGTCTCAAAACACCCCCGACCCCCACCCCCTTAACCCCAACCCCCGAACCCCCCGATTTCCCCACCCCGACTCATTTCTCCCATTTTCCCCTCATTTCCTTGCGAGCGAAGCCGCAACAGGTACCCTTGTTTTGAGTGGGTCGTCATGCCTTTCAAACTCACCAACGCTCCGGCGACTTTTCAAGCGGCGATGACCAACGAGTTCCGTGCAATGCTAGACCGGTTCGTGCTGGTCTACTTGGATGACATCCTCGTCCAAGCCGGACCTTGGAGGAACATCTCGAGCATCTTCGACGAGTGTTGGAGACGCTCCGTCGCGCGAAGTACAAAGCCAACCGCGACAAGTGTGAATTCGTACGTCAAGAGTTGGAATTTCGTCACTCCTCAAGGCATCAGTCCGTTGTCGTACAAGATTCAAGCCATCCAAGATTGGCCGGAGCCGCGGAACGTCACGGATGTCCGTTTGTTCCTTGGCCTTGACGGCTATACCAACGTTTCATCAAAGGGTACTCGAAGATCACGGCCCACTTATACAAGCTTCAATGCGAGGACCGGCCATTTGACTTCGGGACGGATGCGCGGGAATCATTTTTGGCCCTTAAGGCCGCATTGCTATTAGCGGAAGTCTTGTGAATATACGACCCACTATTGCCAACGCGCATCACTACGGATGCGTCCGACTATGGCATTGGTGCCGTCCTCGAACAACATGATGGCGTGGACTGGCACCCGGTCTAATACTTCAGCAAGAAAGTGTCGGTCGTGCATTCAATCGATGACGCGCGCAAAAAGGAACTTCTTGCCTTCGTCCACGCACTCAAGCGGTGGCGGCACTTCCTCCTTGGTCGACGCCCATTCCGATAACAATCCGTTGGTCTTTTACAAGACCCAAGACATCGTCAACAGCACGATCGCCCGTTGGATGGCTTTCATCGACCAATTCGACTTCTTTCCCGATCATATTCCGGGGAAGTCAAACCGTTTTGCGGATGCTCTTTCACGGCGTCCAGATCACTGCACCGCCGTCTACTCGACCTTTGAGATAGAGGATGACTTGCGGAACAGTTTCATCCGCGGCTATCAAGCCGACCCCGAATTTCGCGACAAGTACGCAAGTTGTTCCTCTCCCAATCCGGCGCCTTCGCACTATCGGATCCAAGAGGGATACTTGCTCGTTCACTCGCGGGGGAAGGATCTACTTTGTGTGCCGCAAGATTCACACTTGCGCACGAGGCTTCTTGGCGAGTTCCACGACGCCCCCGCCACCGGACACTTTGGAGTCAATCGCACGATTGGCCGGCTCCGCAAGCGCTTTTGGTGGCCCGGTCTTCTCGATGACGTCACGCGCTATTGCGAGTCATGCGAGGTTTGCCGACGTTGCAAATCCCGCAATCATCGTCCGTACGACGAACTGCGACCATTACCGGTCCCCTTGCGCCGAAGGGAAGCGATTGCCATGGACATTACCGGGCCGTTCCCCAAGCACAAGACGGGTGTGGATGGGATTCTCACGGTGGTTAACCGACTCACCAAGTTTGCCATGTTTTTGCCTTGCCGCTAGCACGCCAAGGCACCGGAGTTGGCAGAGGTTCTCTACGCCTGTTGGATTCGAACCAAGGGTTACCCCAAGGAGATCGTTTGCGACCGCGACACTCGGTTCATGTTCGATTTTTGGTTGGCGCTCATCAAACGATGGGGCTCATCCCTCAAGCCGAGTTCGGCTCGCCACCCCCAAACCGATGGCCAAACGGAGAGGGCACATCAGACCGCACAGGTCCTTCGCACTCTCATCCGTCCCGACCAAAAGGATTGGGTCGAACGTCTGCCGGATATCGAGGTGGCATACAACTCGTCCATCCTCTGGCTATCGGGATTTCGCCCTTTGAGTTCGAGCATGGCTTGCCGGTCAATTCTCCGTTGGACACAATCATCCCACGGGCGGTCGAGAGCGACGACCACCTTCTCTTCATTCGGCGGATGCAGGAGCTTCTTGTCAAGGCACGTGAACAAATGTCAAAGACGCACCAACGTATGCGCCAACAGGCCAACCGCCAGCGTCTTCCTTGTTCCTTCTGCGCCGGCGACCTCGTATGGGTTTCCGCTGCGGAATTCAGCCTCGAACAAGATATCTCTCGCAAGCTCCTTCCGAAATGGATGGGGCCCTGGCCGATCGTGGCACCTGCTGGGGACGCACCCGAAGGACCTTCATTTATCATTCAGGTGCCTGCCCACTTGCCCGTCAACCCGGTCTTTCATTGTTCCAAGTTGGCTCTCTACACGCCAGTGGAACTTGATGACTTTCCCGGGCGACGATCGCAAGACCCACCCTCGATGGACGGTTTCCAAGAGGTTGGCGACATCATATCCCAGCGACATTACGGCAACAGGCCGACTGAATTCTTGATTCATTTTGCATATTGCACCCATAGAGCTGACAGATGGTTGACCCGTGCGGAACTTCAAGCAACAGCTCCCGACGTCCTCGCACTCCACAAACGCAAGTTGCAAGGCAAGCCGGCATCTTCGTCTCCACTCCACACCCGCATCCAAGTTCCACCTTCAGATCGTCAGCTTCGCCCTCGACCCGGCTTGAACTTCATAAGGAGAGGGGGTTGTGGCATGCTGCGTTTGCACACGGGCCCCATTTGAGGACCCGACGGTTGCTGAGGGGCCCCCAGGCCGCGTACCATACAGCACGTGCCTTGGAGGCCCACGGCGGCCCTTCAGGCCCTAGGTAGCACCCTAGTTAGAATAAGTTTAGTTACTTACCTTTGTGTGGGTGTGCGCTGTCTTACTTTGTTTGTCAGGTGCCGTTTGGGACTTGCAGCCCCAAGGCCGGACCTTGGGACTGGGTACACCGGAGGCAGGCCCGAAACGAGGCCAGGCGCATTTTGGCGCCAAACCAGTAGGTACAGGCATCGTTTCGGTCCTGCAGGTCCCAAGGCGACGCCTTGGGCTAGGTGCACAGGTACCGGGGCGATTTTAGGTCAGGCGCATTTCTGCGCCTTGCTGCATCAGCAGCGTGGTCTGGACGTCCAGTAGGGACCCAGATCAGCTGGGCCGTTTTCTGAGGCCACCATCAGGTAGGCCCAGCCGGCCCAGCACTACAAATAGCTGGGCAGCGGCTGGGCAGGGACAGTTCAAGTAGCTCACTTCTGGAGCGACACGCTGCTGGTTGAAGCAGCGTTATTTCTGCACCAAGCTACGAAGTAGGGAGTAGCGGAGTAGGTAGTGGAGAGAGGCGGAGGCCTTACCTGCAAGCGACGAACTTACCTGGCGCCTTAGCTGGGCTCCACGCGGTACCTGCACACGACGAAGACCACGGTCAGTACGGTGACARCTACCTGCAGGTGAGATAGCAAGGACTTCATCTTCTTCTTCTTCCTCCTCCATCTCTCTCTCTCTCCTTYCTCCTTCTTCCTTCTCTTTCTTACCTTCTTCTTCAGCTACGAGAGTACGAGAGGATATCAGTAGGGAATACAGGCAGAGGTTAAGTTGGGCACATTGCCCAGGATCTGATTCGACATTTTGGGACGGCTATTGATTGGACACTCGGCAAGGGACTATTTTTGGGACTGCGCTATTGCGATCTTGGTTTACTCTCTCGCCTCCTGTTCCTTCGTCTCGTCTTTCCCCCCATCTCTCATCCGTGGTATCTCCCCATGTATGTGTGTGAAGGAGGGACCTTTCTTCTGTGTTTGCGGTCCCTCCTCCCTTCTCACATGTGCGATGTATGATGGATGTCGGGTCAGTCCAGATCAGATCAGATCTTCTCTTTAAAGATTTCCGCTGCGCCACTTTGTGCCATCTTGTATGTATCGGAATGTACATTGCTTCTTGATGCTATGCTGACCTTGCATTGTCCATTTCAGTCCTTTTCATCACATTGCGGATCCTTGGCTCCCTGCGCATTGTCCCATTGGGCATGCGTCACTGCTACTCCTGTACCTGGGACGCGGACCCGTGCCCGCGTGGACTCGTTGCCATCACCTTCTGTGGAGGATCTCAAGCTGAAAGAGAAGGTAGATCATCAAGAGCATGAGATCGAGATTCTGAGAGAGTGGCGACTGCGTGAGCTCAACGGACGATGCCAGGCGGAACAGGAAGTTGACCGATTGAAGGAGAAGATGGCTTGACTTGAGGTGGAGAGACGTACTCCTAAGGCTTCCAATCTAAAGGCGCGTTTGGACAAGCTGGCTACTACAATGGTTGAGAAAGGGAAGAGACAGCTAAGCCCTGCTGCACAGGCTGTGGAAGCTAACGATCGTGAAGCCTTCCTTTTCGAGACTAGAAGGGCGCTGAAACCGTTAAAGAAGGAGAAGATCGTTGCGATCTGTGCAAAGGAAGGTGTCTCTTATTCTACTGTGGACAAGACGAAGGAGGAGTTAGCATTGAAGCGTGCTGATGTGGCCTTTGGCATAGATCGTGGTGGAGCCTTAAAGAAAGGCGGCGTGGTGATCCACGAAGTTACCGAAGTGGCCGAGCAGGGCACCGACGGCAGTACCGAGGTCAATGGTGATTCTGCTACTTCGTAAGGGTTGTCCCCGGATGCGTCGTGGCTGTGGATTCTTCTTCATAGTTGTGCTCAGTTTCGTTCGTCGTCAATGATTGGATTCGGTGTAGACTGATTAACACACTTCTCTGTTTGATTGTGCTTTTGCTGATTGTGCTGGGACAAATACCATGGGGGGTTAAGTTGAGTGGTTTTCTCCTTCGTGTGGCTGCGAGCGATTTCGACTTTGAGGCGGCGAATGGTCCTTTGGTATACGCGTTGCTTTCTCCGTGGTGCCGACACCTATATATTGGAAGTACTACTCGTGACTTGCATAAGCGGAGGGGGGAGCACGTGTACAAAGCCTGTAATTCTGAGGTAATTAATGGAGGTGTTAAAAACGAGAAGCTCTATCGATGGTTACGACGGATTGGTGCTCATAAGTATATCGCTATACCACTTTGTGTATCATCCAAGGAAGATGTAAGAACGTGTGAGAAGTTTTTTATACGGTTGCTCTCTCCTTCGTTAAATGTTAGGGACAAAGCTAGGAGATCCAAGCGTTCCCGTCCAGGTCTGAGAGAAAGGTTGAGACGATCCAAGCGGAAACAGTGTTCGAGTATCTCGGCAACTTTGGGAGGTAAGTCGTTGCTCACCTTCTTTCCCAGTTTTGGTGGCTGCTCATGCAGTCTTCTTTCGATTTTGGAGAAGTGTCGAGAGGATTCGATTTGTTGCTTTGCGGTCACTTGTCGAGGCGGGGAGTTATTTATTGATAAGTGGAAGGTTCTGCGGCGTACGTATGGGGGATCTATCGTTTCTTGTATTTTCGGTCGAGGGTTGTTTCGGCATGCTCGTGGGTGGATTAAAGAGGGCATCACTGTAACCTTTGAATCTGTTGTTCCCTTTCTTAGTAAGTCGCTGGCTCTTAAGCCTTCTCTCAGTCGGTTGCTTAGTTCTCCCCCTTCCCGTGCGTCTCTTCGTTTTTGGACCTTTGATTCTCTCGTTGTAGCATTTACAGCAATACGTACTTTCAGTGAGAAACGTGCGTGGGGACGGTTGAGGTGTATTTTGTCCAAGTGTATCTCGTCGAGGTTTGGGGCCCATGTACGGGAACATTTGGTCGTTAAGCTGGTTTATAATGATTGTATTTGGAAGTCACAAGTAAGAAGGATTTGTGTTCGTCTGATATATGGGTTGTGTATCCCTTTGGTTCGGAAGGAGGTTTTGGCACGCGTCGTATGCGAATTGTGTGGCGTCGGAATCGCACGATCGGTGATTGTCTGCACAATTTTTGGAAGTATGCCAGAAGCAGTGATGCGGCATGCTGTTGTGAGTCGGCTATTGGTGACTTTCCTACCAAAAGTGGGCATGTATCCTTTAGGATTTCGGAGATGGATACCTTTCTGTCCTGGATGAGGAACAACAATAATATCCTGAGACCGTCTCGGAGACATTCGCCTGCAACTCTTAAGAAGGAGATTCTGGATGCCTTCCGCTCTCACTCCTCTCTTCCTCCACTTGACTCCAGTTCTGCCGCCTTTGACGATCTCTATTCTTGCTTTTGTCTGACTGATGACTCGCCGTCTTCTGTGTCTACCTACAGTGAAGACGATGTATTACCGTTTTGTGGTAAGCTGCGTGGGATGGTGTGCTGCCCCTTAGACCACAATATGGGGGACACGTATGTTTGTTGCCCTGTGTTGTATCGTGCTGGTATGGCGAAGTTGTTCCTGGATAATCCTTCCTTTTCGACGAGTGAGTCTGACGAACGACGTGTGTTGGATGAAGTGGCAGTCTGTTATAAAAGCAAGGGTTTGGAGGCTGTGGATAAATGGAAATCTAATGGTGAGTTTGGGCGAGCCTATTGCTTACGTAAGCACAAGGATACTAATCGGTGGAGACCGATCTGTCCTTCCTACCCCGAGTGTTCTGCTGCCGGGGGGAAGTTGATATCTAAGGCTGTTAACTGCATGTTGTGGAATCTGCCCCGGCGATCTAACCTGAATCTGAGGTGTACTGATGACTAGGTGGCCAGTATAACCGATGTTAATAAGAGTGTTAGGAAGGATGATGGGCTGGTGGGCGCATCCTATGATGTTAAAGAGATGTTTTCGAACATCCCCCACGCCTCAATCCTACAGGCAGTCTTCTGGGTCATTGATTTTTGGGAGGACAAGGAGTACACAGCAGTTGCAGTCAAGAAACGGGGAAGGGGTGCCAAGCTTGTAAAGAAGCGAGGGGAAGAGGGTTGGGCTGTTCTGAAATTCCACACAATATTCACGTTTGTAGAATATGAGCTTCGGAATAAGTTTGTGATGGCCGCCGGATGTGTGTTGCAGCAGAATGTGGGTATACCTATGGGCAAGTCGTCCAGCCCAGGGCTGGCTTGCTTATTATGCGTCTTCAACAAGCTTCTCTTTCTCTCTTCTTTAGGATCTGATAGGGTCCTGTTTCATGGGTTCCGACTTGTTGATGACGTCTCAGTTTTTGTGAGATACCGTAAGGGAGATGAAGCGTCTTTGGTACGTGCTGTGGAAATTTCGGACAAATTTCCTTACGGAGATGAAGCGTCTTTGGTACGTGCTGTGGAAATTTTGGACAAATTTCAGGTTAGTTACGATAAGAACCTAACGCTGGACCAGACTACTATTGGGGATTGTTGGGAGTACCTTGGGTGTGTATTGAAGATTTTTAACGGAGCAAATGAGGTGGTGAGTTTGCCAATGCACAAGAATCAGCAAGTGCCTGCGAAGGATCGGCTGGTCTTTCAAAGTATTGAGGATTACTGCTCCTTTTTGAGTAAACAGCAGAAGATTGCTGTTGTGAGTTCCTTTTTGCATCGTGCTAAGCGGTTTGCTACTGTTCCAGGTACTGAGCTACCTTTTTTATTCACTTTGAACATGGAGTTGTGGATGCGATCTTATCCTGACGAGGTGTCTGATAATGTTTTGGCTAATTTCTCGCGGAAGTTTGGGGGGATATGGAAACAATGGCTACCTGTGCTAACGAGGTGGGACAGAGTCTGTCGGTCCTAGGGGCTCTGATGGTTGGCCTCTAGTTGTTTTTGCTTACGATACCTGGATACTGTCGAGATGTCTGGTTGTTTGTTTGGGTTCTGACGTTGGGCTGGGGGTACCCAACCCCCTTTATTGGCTGGATCAGGTTCGTGCTGCTGACGCTGGGTACCCTGGTGAGATCCCGTACGAGAGTAGTTTGCAGTTTCCTTGTTGGGACCAGTGGGAACTGGTGACGTCGGGTACCATGTTGTGATCCTTCGTAGTATAGTTGTCGGTAAGGACTTAGTGAAGAATTGAGTTGGTTTTTGAGTTGGTAACAGTACGCTGTGTGGTTGTTGGTGGGTTTTTGATGTTTGGACCGGTAAGGACTTGGTGAAGAATTGAACATTGACCATGATGGTTTTCCAGACGTAGAAGTTGTCCGTGTTTTATGCAGAAGGAACTGTTTGAGAGTTTGAATGACTGGCCTCGAACTGGTAACGTAGGCGTAGGCTCTCTCTTTTTTAGCCGTTTCTAGTGCTTATAGTCGTTCACTAGATGTTTAGGCTTTAGGCAATTCCTAGAATCTACAGTTAATCTACAGTCAGTTCCTTTTTATAGGATCAGTCAGTTCGGTTCCTTACCGACAGACCCCTGATGAGTGCTGGCATTGGCGGCCAACCGAAACCGGTCGGGTCGCTTTGCCAACCGGATGCTTGCATTCAGATCTGTACTTCATGCTATTTTTAACGTCGCGTTCGGGATTCATGACTTGATCTTCCTTCTTCTTCCTCCTTCCCTATCTTCTTCTTCCCCTCCCTGTTTCGCTATTGGTGTGAGTGTGTTGATTGGCTGGACTTGTTTCTGGCTTGGTTGCTATCATTGGAGTTCTTGTGAAGTTTCGTCGTCATCACGACAGCATCAGATTGCCAATCCAAGGGATCAACTGGAAAAGCATGGATCTCTTCTGGTAACCGGCGAAGTAGAAGAAGGTAGTCGTGGGCTAAGGAAGACACGACAACATATACCTTTCGCGGCATTTTGGCTAAGATTAAATGTAGTATTTGTTCTGATCGGTTTGATATCTGATCCGTGGTCCATCAAAAAAAAAAAGAAGAAAAGAAAAGAAAGAAAAAGACACGGCAACATTCCCGATGATTGTCAGAGAAGTTCGATATCCAGGAAGCCATGTGAGACTTGAAGCAGAAGCAGCTGTCAAAGGTAGAAAGTTGTGGGCTTAAGGAACACAGAAGCAACATTTCTGATGATTGTTAAGAGAATCTCCACGACCAGGAAGGCTGGAAACAGAGCATGCCTTCAATTGTTAAGTTTCTAACCTTTCGGGAAAACAATCCAAATGTATAATGTACCTCTTGCTCGCCAAGACTCGTGTTTCAATGAATTGTACGCGACGCAGAGCATACCTGATCAGAGATGTCGATTGCCACACAAAACTCCAATCAAACCCCACACCTTATCATTGTGTTCGTGTGGCTGCAGATGATGCACCATTCCTTGTAAATTGATGCTGTGGTTATGGGTGCAGGCGACAATGTTTTTCAGCATACCAACACTGCACCAGTCTTGAGTGCTGATGAACCATTTCAGCTCTGTGGGTGTGTATCTGATGTGGCTTCCACCTCATTCTCACAGTCTGCTTTCCTTGCCCCCAACATGAGTGGTCCATGCCAGCTTGTTAGTGTTTTACTGCAGTCACGACACCAAGTGATGATGAGAGTGTGCCAGATAGATTGCGGGGTGATGATAAGGAGGACAATGGAGGTCCATGGGAGTAATTGTTTTCTGAATGTGCATTGTGATGATAAGAAAGTCCAGTGCAGCTCCACATGCCTAATCTTTTGTGTTTTGAAATGCATTTCTGATCACATCATCCTGTGCCTAATGTCTCATCTGCAGGAGAAGTACTTGAAGAATAATGCCATGAGTATGGAAGAGGAGGTGAAGATGAAAGAGTACAAAGCACAACTTGAGGCAGAAAGGGAGAAAAGGCTTGCAGAGGGGATCAATCATTCAGATCTGAAGAAGAAGAAGAGTGAGTTTCTCGGGCTATCAGTCAAGATTCCCTTACCACTTTCCCTTGTGTCCCTTCTTCTCATCTTGCATGTCAAACATAGGGAAGCATGGATCTGTGGAAGTGACCATATTGTAGATATGTGATTGATCAGTCACTCAGGGTCCAGATTGCAGTTGCCAAGTCTTTGCCGGCGTACTTAGGGTGGAGATATGTGTGTGATACCGACGAAGTACGGGAATTGAAAATTCGGAATTGAATTTGACTGATACCATTTCACATCGGTTTGGGTGCCGCAGAAGACGATGTCCTAGCAGGGTTTTTTGTGGGGTGGGGTCCCCACGGGGAGGCGCAGGGAGGGGTAGGAAGGGGGCGATACATCATCGACCAACCTCTGATGGGTCTGAGGCTAGACATAGAACTCCATATTTCGCTGTTTTGTTGGAGGTCATTGGAACTGGCAGGTAGCCCAATTCTTGGGCCCAGAAAGAAACCTTTCCTTGGCCTGTTTTGTTCACAGCCAGGAGGCTGTGCGTGTGTGTGTTCCATTTTCGTCGTTTCATTTCTTTCTATTTTTGGTAAGGTCGTGCAGTACAACTTCGCTAGGACGGGTTCGTTTGGGGTTCCGAGATCAGAAAATAGGCTCCGGTTGCAGTCGTCCCTAAGACCGGTCATAGTGCAGGTTATCTTGTCAAGGTCGTTGCAGTTTAGTATAGGGCGCCGTCCATTGTTTCCCTTTTGACGGATAGAGTTTTTTCACGTTGCAAACTGGGGGCGGGCGATTTGTGTCTGGGGGCGTGCGATTTGTGTCTAGGTCGTTTCGCTTTTGTTTTTTTTCTCTTCTACTGCATCTTCCCAGAAATACAGTATCGAAGCATTCTGCTGTTTACTACGCCCAAGTAGCGAAATCTAGAACGGACTGAAAAGAAAAAACAAAACGTATCGACTTTCGAAAAAAAAAAAAAGAAACAACGCTTCTACCTTTGCCCTGAGAGCTGTGGAGATCGAGGGCCTTGCTCCACTACTGAGCAAATGTGCAACATAAGCAATGAATGGTCTGGCAGAACACAGGTAGATACACTGCTAGTAGTTCAGAGCTTGAAACCTTTTTCCTGGCCGCTTGTGGGGTGGTACAGCCCTCAGTAGCTTGCTATTCGTTTTTCATGTTTTTTTTTTTTTTTCCTCTGCGACAGAAGAATCTGGATCCATCCAGCGTCCTAGCTCAATTGGGTAGGCACACAGGTGGCATTCACGAGGTTGTGGGTTCAATCCCCACGGCTGCCTGTGGCACTCTTGGTGCCATCCAACTGAGATACTGAGCAGGATCCTCCCAGTCTGTATCAGTAAGGTCTTCAGCCAACAGGGGTGTGAGGGCGCGTGTGAGTGGGTTGCGTGTGGTGTGTGGGAGAGTGTTGGCTTTGGACACTACCATCCAGAAGGCTGCCCATTCCCCACTTCATAAGACCTTTGCCAAGCTTACTGTCTAAAACATGAAGCATGCTACCCGATTTGCTGCGTCCCCGCGTTTGACGCGGTATAACAGTCCGTAAGGACGATAAGAAACAGTCAGGCGGTAATTGGATGGGCCTTTATTGTGCATGCATGCTTACAGAGGAACATGGGGGCTATTAGATGGACCTTTCTTGGTCATTGGAGGTCATTGGAACTGGTTGTAATTGGATAGGCCTTTATTGTGCACAGATGCTTACAAATGAACATGGGGTTCATTGGATGGGCCTTTTAAGATTAGTGTAAGGACCAGCCCAAACACGGACTGAGAACACAGCTGATTTCTGAGTTTTACCGCTAGAATGAATGCCTTGCTGAGATTCCCGCTTTTTGCTGAGTTTTCTAGGTCTGTGTGCGTGTGTGCTTGCTGGTCTGCATGCCTTTCTGAGTGCTTCTCGGCTTGAGATTTTGTGTGACCCGCAAGGGCACTTGTTCGTTCAGGAGGCCCGCTGGGACGGTACTTACCTGTCGCTGTGACTTGAGGGTTGCAGCAGGGAAAACACTAAGTGGTGGGAGTAGGCCCGTGATGCTTATAGCAGTGGGGAAAAAACACTCAAAAAGTAGGTAGGCTGGTACCACTCAAGTAGCGGTAGATGTGTTGGGGACTGGAGGCCGAGCAGAAGAAAAAAAGTTGGCATTTTTAGAGACCTAGTAGTGGTAGGCTAGGTCTAAGCGCAGTCTGAGTCTAGGGCCTGTGCGAACGATATCAGAGCCTGCAATGATGCTTCCCTCCGAAAGGGAGGAGGTACCGGTTGTTTGGAGGCTGCGGGGCCTGGAAGTCACTGCCCAAGGACGCTGCTGCCTCGCTATATCACTGGGAAGACCAATGAGCTCTTCCTCATTTGCTGCTGGAGCGCGTGGTGGAGCAGCGCTGCTGGGGAAGGAGGAGCTCAGGCAGGAGGAGGAGGAAGAAGGGACTAGGAGAGGGAGCGCCAGGGGCACTCACCTGGCTATGGTGGGTGCTGCATCTGGAAGGCCCCGTTCGGGTAGAGTGACATCAAGCAGCTTCGAGGCAGAGTCAGGCATAGCGGCCTGAGTGGAAGAGGCCATAGCTGCTTTGTGTCAGGGCAAGGCCCTAGTAGTCCGCCATAGCCTCGGCCTAGATGAGGAGGAAGGAGAAGAGTGGCCATGGCAATGGAGGACCTCACATTGTGCTGGCAGTAGAAGAGGGATATGGACATTTGATTCTGGTTCTGCAGTTCATCATTATCTCTTCTCTATCTCTAATACTCTAAAGGAAGAAGCGGGTCTCGCGTGACGGGCCCAACAGAAACCGGGCGCCGCCGCGCGGGCCCGCTCCGAGGCAGTGGGGCGAGGAAGGAAGAAGCGGGTCTCGCGTGACGGGCCCAACAGAAACTGGGCACCGCCGCCCGGGCCCGCTTCGAGGCAGTGGGGCGAGGGGGAACCGGTGGCGCGTTGGTGCGAAATCCGACCCGTCGGTCCATGAGGCGGGACTGGGGCGCTGTGGGCCTGCGTGGCGGCGCTCTGTGGTGGGTGGATGCGGGCCTCAGTGCAGTGCGGTGCGGTGCGTGGGCCTGCGCCACACGTTTTTTTTTTTTTTGCCCGTCGCTCGGGGGGCGGGGGAGCAAACAACATTATCGGAGCGTTGCTTT